ACAAACCTATTCCTCCCTGTTTTTACCTTACTTAGCTCAATGAGGGAGGCTCTATCCCATTCAGCCACCTAAGGTAGCAATTATTTTTCACCCCCAAACTCCTTAACCTTCCTCTCAGTATCTCTCTCTCTCTCTCTCTCTCTGTCTCTCTCTCTCTCTCTCTCTCTCAGTATCGCTCTCTCTCCCTCCCTCCTTCACACACACAGCCAGTGATAAAGTGTGGCAGAGTTCAGGCAGCAGGTTCATCATAGGCTTCATTTTTATTCTGTAAATATATGTTTAGCAAAACTTTTAAATGAATGTGATATTTAAGAATCAAATGGCTATATATTAATAGAAGGTTTTATAACAAGCTTTCAAAATATAGAAGGCAAAACATACAAAAACTGTGAAAATGTTCAGAGTGCGAAAGTTAAAACCAAAAATTAGGTAAGACTGGTTGATTTGTTGGTTGATTGGTTGGTTGAATGAACGAATGAATGGGTAGGGAAAAGGTGGAAGGAAAGAAGGGAGCGAGAGGGAGGGAGAGAGGGAAGCAGAGATAGGGGGAGAAGGGAAGAAAGAGAATCTTTTTAAAAGGGCTAAAGAAAGGGAAAAAATCACCCAATTTTTTATATAAGCTGCTGATAACAGTGCAAACAATCAGAGTTTAATGTGTCTTTGTTGTCATATTTATTACTTCCTTCCAACTATGACATGGGTACAAGAGGCTTGAGGAGATGGTGCAAGAGCACTAAGTTGCCTTAAATAAATGTGTTTTAGTTTTTCTTACTATGAAAAGTTTCAAATATATGTAGAAGTAGAGAAAATAGTATTTATCTCAACCCTTAATTATGTATGCCATCCCCCACTGTATTAGTATGAAGCAAAACTAAGAAATCACTTAAATGAGTGGAATCTCCAGATTTAAAGAATTATATCCCAGTGATACAATTCAGAAAACAACCACTATCCATTATTTTGAAAAATAATGACGAGTACATTGAAAAAAATGTGATGGGAAAATTCTGTACTTTTTTTATTAAAAAGTATAGATTCTTTGGAGTTTAGGGTATGAACTGCTTATAAGTTTTGTAATGAAATGGATGTTTTTCTAGATCTTGGCCAAGATATAGTAGTAATTCTAGACATGTCAACATGCTAAAAGCAAAGATTGCTCTGCTGATTTTATTTCTTTACTCATTTATTTAAATTCCATCTTTTTAATAAATAAATTAAGTCAGCTAATAATACTTTTTAATGAGATTACCAGACTGCTAGATCAGGAAAATACCATCTGAAAAAATTAACGTTAATTTCAGCAAGATATTGACAAAAACTCTTAGACTGTGCATGTGTTGGGAATTGTGGACTGGGTCACAATACAGTTAGGTAGATTTATAGGGAATGTCATGACCATGTCTAAAGCCGCAACTAATGGGTCTATCAGCTTGGAGGAAGGCTTCTAGTAGTATCCTGGAAGGCTCTGTTTGTGGCCCTGTTCTGGTCCTTCGTTTTAATCAATGACTCGAATGAAGACACAGAAGTCACACAACTAATCGCAAGTAGGTTTGGGGGTTTATAAACTTTCAAGAAAAGACCACATATGTAAAACTGGGTTAAGTTCATGGTTTGTTGGGGCAGAGAAAAAAAAATTTATTTTGACAAGGCAGATAAACAGAGTAAGAGGCTATGTATCATATCTCAGCCCAGCTTCTTCTGGTCCCTTTCTGGATGCATCCTGCAGTTAATATATACATTGATTGTGCATGGTTATGTGCTGCTATATCTGACATACTAAATTTTATTGTTCACCACATCCCTTTTAATATTCAGGGCTTACATCATCAACCAGGAAGAATTTATACAACATTTATAGACCTACAGACCTCTTCCTGATTCTTGAACAAAACACAGGGTCAGTTAAGTCCACTTAGTGATAGGACAGTAGAGAGCAGTCAGTGCACTTCAGGCCCAAAGCAGCATCTCCACATCCTTCTTTACTGCATCCTGGAGGAGTGCACCTTTGCCATATTTCCCCCAGGACTTCCATCAGAGGAAAGTGCAGAGGTGCCAGGGTTACTGTGCTCAGAGGGTAAGGTCTTGCGGAAACTGAGAAACTTAACTATGTACCACATCACAAACCTCTTTTCATCTGGAGCTTAAATCATTATGCTTGAAGAACTTACACAAATAATCTATGCCCCTAATGTTTTCTTTTAAGTGATTATTTACAGATACTGAGACTCTCCTGATTGCTGAGCCAAACTTAGCACCAATAAAAGTACATCCTCATCTGGGAGCAAAGGCAGATTTAGCATTCAGGTATTTCTGATAGTCTCTCTGTCTCTGGTTATCGGGCACCCTAGAGAGCTCATTCCCGACATAAGTCTCTCAGATTTACAGAGGGCATGAAACTGGGAAAGATTTTTGAAGTTCCAGTGACAACTGAAGAATTTTAAAAGATTCAGAAAAGTTCAAAGTATGAGCTAAATTTTAAAAGTAACTAACCAGATACATACGAAGTCCTACCCTTAGCTCCAAAATAGGCATTTAAATAGCAAATAGAAAAGATTTGACTGATACAGAAGTGCATATGATTTTTCAAAGTAGTTTTTTAAATTAACTTCAAACTTAATAAAAGTGGCATAATAAGCCATCTATTTTTTCAAAAAGATCACAGTAGTTAGGAGTCCTTATCAAAGGTAGTAATAATTGCTTTCTATATATTCTATACAGGTAAAGCAATCGCTATTGGGATTAATTTTGGACACCTAATTTTACAGAGATTTTAGCCAGTCACAGAACAGGGTGACTAGAATGTTTAGGGGTCTCAAACCATGCTTGATCATAATGAAAATAATAATAACAACTGCCATGAATTGAAGCCCTACTGGGTGCCAGACAGATAAACACTATACCTGAAATGGCCGTGGAGTTGAACATCTTTTACCCTAAAAAAAGCCCAAGGAGAAGCTACCTGCCCAGCTAAATTTTAAAGTCCATGATGACAAGAACTTTTGCACATAATTTTCAGATGGTAATGAAGACACTAATAATGATAATGTAGCTGCTTTGCAATATTTGAGAAATGAATTCTCAAGTGGAAGGGGCAAAGAGTATGTGACTCCAGGGGAAACCAGATCAAATAGGTTGAAGTTACAAGGAGGCAAATCAAAGCTCAAACATAAAAAAGACACTTCTATCACATATTTTTGTTCAGAAATGGCCCATTTACTGTTAAGTGGTCATTATGTTCCCAGTGCAGAAGTCAAGACTTTATATCTGTCTATTACCAGCCAGTAAAGTTGATATTTTTATCTTGTTTTATCCATGAGGAAATTGAGATGCCATGGAAAAACTTGGTGAAACTCACACAACTGGGAAGTGACAGAATTAAAGTTTACGTACTTTAAAGTTCATTTATTTTCACAAGTAATAATATTATCTATCATTAGAAATAATCCTACATGGCCATTGACTAAATGTTCATCTCTTGAGAACATTTCTAAGGGAATTCCTGCAGTGGGTGAGGAGAGTTCCCTATCTCTTTAATCCCTCAAGTGCTCAGTGTCGCTAAGCCTGTTTGTCAAATAATAAGCTTTATTAAGAGTGACCATTTAATTATCTTCTTTATAAAACCACAAAGTAATAGCACTATTGGAAACACTTTCAGTGAATCTGAAGATATCGGTTTGAGTTGAGGAAATGCTAAATCCCCTAGTGAGGGACACTTGCTAATTCATCCTGAGTTTCACTGGGAAAGCACTTAATTGGCCTTCTAATATCATTGCTTCCAGGATAGTTCATTTACTTGCTATTCTGTTTTACTGTAAAGGATTCACATAGCACATTTTATTAGTATATGACTGGTAAAGATAAAAGTTCAATACATGCCTTTATATCTGTTATGAACCACAAACATGGGCTTAGAAAAAACAAATATGTAGAAACTGAGAAAAGCAGACATTTATTGAAAGTCTAATGTGTTCTAGACACAGTCTAGAGATTAACTCATTCAAAGGAGGGTGGGCGGAATACTAGGAGCTCAGGTCTTGATGTAACAAGCAGCCCATATGCAGGGTATTGAGACGAGACTGACCAAGCCTACCTAGGAGAGATTCTGTGGTAGAAAGTAGTGGGCAATGTCCTTAGGTAGGTAAGCCAGAAAGAACCTGCAGACAAGCTTGGATTCTGAGCAGAGCTTTTAGACCTGATGTTCTGGGCATCAGGAGCCATGCTGGACTCCTAAGTGGAAGAGTGGAATAAAGAAAGTAGTGTAAGAATACAGTGAATATGCTCCAAGTTAGGAAGGAACTGGAAGCCACAATAAAAGAAAGGGTAGAGGTAGTTTTAGAAAGGCATCTCTTCCTCTGAGAGTGACAGGAAGGATCACAAGAAAGTTATTAGTAATAAAAATGAATATTTATGCAGCATTTACTGTGTGCCAGACAGTGTTTAAGTGCCTTAGGTATATTCACTCATTTATCCTTACAACAGTCCTGTGAAATAAGTACTACTATTATCATCATCCCCATCGTCCAAGTGAGAAAATTGAAGCTCTAAAAGCAATTGGCCTAAGGGCGCACAGAGAAGATGCTCAACAGTTAGTACATGGTCACCTCACAACCACGTTCTAATGACCAATAGCAATGCACTTTAAATGCTTACTTGATGATAGTATGTATATCATCTAGCTGTTTCACTGTAGGTCACAGCTTGAGCAGATTGTTCTCAGAAGTGGTGGACACAACAGGGATGACATTGTGTTTCTTGATCCATGAATATAGTTTACAACCTGATCTCCAATGTTGATTACATGTGTGTGCTCTTTTTCCCTAGAACCTGAGGAACCTGTCCTTGAATAGGACAGACCTGTTCAATTCTTAAAGTTATACTTATATTCTAATAAAAATAAAATTAGGTGTAAGGATCATATCTGCAGTTGTTTTATTTGTAAACATTGTAAATTTCTTTCTGCACACATGGCATACCATATGTGTCCTTTTTCCCCGCACTAGGGGCTCAAGATCTGGATCGCATCCGACTCTCCACCTACAGAACAGCATGCAAGCTTAGGTTTGTTCAGAAGAAATGCAATTGTAAGTATGCCAGTTGATTGGACTAATTACCATCAAGAATCCTAGAGTTTATATTTGGTACTAAGTTTATTAAACTAGTTTATCTTACAAATATTGATAATACTCATATATGTTTACACAACAATAAAAGGGGTATTATGCTGTACAAATGGTAGAGATGACTCCTAAGTAGCCTTGAAATCTGAATTATGCTTAAATACTAAAGCATATGAACTGTTTAGTTCATACTAAAAGGATGAACCTCTGGATACATATACAATATAATTCTGACCTTGGAAGGGTTTAAATCTGGATGTTTTTCTTCTTTTCTCTAACCTTGGTATCATAAATGCAGTGCCATCAAAATGGTTTCCAAGAACTTTATAAAATATCAAACACTAAATCCCCCTTATATTTGTATTTTCTTTTACAAGGACAGGAAAATATTTTAAAGCTTTTGGAAAACATTTAAGTTTTTTTTCTGAAAGAGCAAAATTAGCCCTTTGTGTCAGAGTTTTAACTACATTTGTGTACATCAGACAAAAATAAGAAAAGAGACAATACTTAAAGAAGCAAAGGAACTTGCTCCAGTTTTTTTTCAAATGTAAAAACGTAAGCAGTAAGCTAGATCACTAGTCACAACGAGCAGTCTTAGTCTCTGCTGGGCCAACACCTCCATTGTATTACCATATGCATTTTCTCTTGGAAAAAAATATTGATTCATAGTTCATATGTAAGAACTTATTCTTTTCTTTTTAAAAAAATACTTATAAAAATTAGTCATGTCTCATTTTTTAATTAATACTGGATGAATTCTTAAAAATGAAAACCGTAATGTTCTCCTGATACATACACATAATTCTACTATAACTGGCATGGTCATTAGACTCACGGTAAAGGTAGAAACCAGGCGTCTCCACATGTCTACCCTCTCAGAGTCTCTAGCAGGTGTTTCCTAGGGCCCTGGGCAGGTCACCTCAGCCCCAGGCTTCTAGGCTTACAGCTAATCATGACTGTGAGGATGCAAAGTATGCATCTATTCCTCAAGTTCTCATCTACATCTTATTCCCCAGCCCCAATGGCTAAAAATGGGACTGAAGTTTGGGGAAGGAGAGGTTAGAAGAAAAATATAAGTTGACTGTCTTACTTTCATTTTCTGTTGCTTATAACAGAATACTTGAAACTTTGCAATTTATAAAGAAAAGGAATTTGTTTCTTACAATTATGGTGGCTCCAAGGTCAAGGGGCTGCCTCTGGTGAGAGTCTTCTTACTACTGGGACTCTCTGCAGAGTCTCAAGATGGTGCAGGGCACACATAGCAAGGAGGCTGAGCATGCTAACTCAGGTCTCTCTTCCCCTTCTTATAAGGCCACCAGCCTCACTCCTGTGATTACTTATTAATCCATGAGTGGATAATACATTCATAAGGACAGAGCCCGCATGACCAATCATCTCTTAAAAGCCCCACCTCTCAACACTGCCTCATTGGGGATTAAGTTTCAACACGAGTTTCAGAAGGGACAAACATTCAAACCATAGCATTGGTCACACATCACATATGTGTTTTGACTCCTCACAGGAAGCTAAAGCAATCTAAAATGAGTAGTGAGAAAAGTATTACAGATGTTGAAAGAATTTCTTGCTGTATTTGTAGTCCTAACGAGTCAATAAAGCCATTTCCCGTGCTGGTGTTAGGGGCCAAGGAAAATGTTCCCACAGAAGAAGTTTCCTCTTCCCCCTCAAACACATCACCCAGATTAAAAACAAAAGGAAGAATCTCCGTGTTTTCAGCAATTAAAAGGGATGTGATTGTCCCACGTTCTTATCATGTGTTACCACTACAATGGCTTCAAAATTGGAGGGGAAGGCAGAGGGTAAGTGGTAGGAGTTCTGTCCTCCTTAGAGCTTTGCCAAGCAGAGCCTTCCTTAGGCTCCTTTCAGGAGAGCTAGAGATTTCCAATAAAAGACTACAAAATGGTACGAAGGAACCCCCAGAAAAAGCAAAAAAGGAAAACAAAGGAAAGAAAGGAAGTGAAAGGAAGAGAAGGGAAGGGCTCAGGGAATCAGGGACTTGGCAATACTGCACTCAACATTAAGGTAGACACACCGTGTTGTCCCCAGTTGTGGTCCACAGGCCTTATCCCATGCCTCCTGCTCTCTGAGAAAGACCCTTTCTCATTCTTGGCCATTTCCTTTTCCTCTTTCTATACTTTTCTGGTCCACATCCTTATCCTGCATCTAGAATTGTTTTGGAATTTCTTGAAAAACAGTAGGGAAGAAGTGAGGATGCTAATCTATCCCTGGGTGAAAATAGAAGCTTATACCTGTCCAGTGGCCCTTCAGTGTGTCCATTCATTGACTTCTTAATTCAGTAAATGTATAATGAGCTCCTGCTATATGTTTGATATTGTGCTAGGTACCAAGGATAGTGTGATGATGAATGACATGTAATCCCTGCCTTCAAGTTGCTCAAAATCTAACTGAGCATGTGGACTTTTAAGCAGATGTATAAAACCATGTAGAAAGATAATGATAGAAATATGTACGTGGTATGTGAGAGCTTCAGGGAGTCAGTGCCCTGACTTGTTGGGGATGAGGGTCCATGGTAGGACTTTCCTAGAGAAGGAGATATCAGGAAAGTCTTATTTGTTTTACGATGTACCTTATAAAATTCCTGTATTTCAGGATAAGAAAATATATTACATTCTACAAAAGTTAGACAAAGTTAAGGTCCAAGGAAGAAAAATAAGCATATTGTGAATGCTTTGCTAAAGTAAGCTTTTAAAAATTGTTTCTACCTGATCAGAGGCATTAAATGCAAGTACTATATGTCCTTGCAGAGTTTTCCTTTCTAACAATAAATACAACAGTTGTGATATTCAGAGGTATTTTTAAAATGTTTACATAATTGATCTTGGCTCATCTTAATCAAAGTTGAAACCTTCCTTCTAGAAAGTTAACCAATCAGAAGCAGTGATGTTTACATGACATAACATTAGTCAACATTGAATATATGACCTGATTAGAGGAAAGTAATTTTAGTCTGCAGTAAACCTAACCCACAATAAATTATGATACCTTATAATGGAGTTTTACTCTACAATAAAAGAAATAAGAAATAAAATGTAGGTAGCATATTTGTAAGTGCTTTTTTTTTATTGGAAAGTATCTTATTATGTCTGGGCTGCTCTAACAAAAATACCATAAACTGGATGGCTTATAAACAAGATTTATTTCTCATAATTCTGGAGACTAGAAAATCCAAAATCAAGGCACTGACAGATTTGGTATCTAGGGAGAGGAGCCTTCTGGTTCATAGGTGGCCCCTTCTCACTGTGTCCTCCCATGGTGGAAGAAGCAAGGCAGCCCTCTGGGGCTTTGTTTTGTTTTGTTTTGTTTTGTTTTTTTGACAGAGTTTTGCTCTTGTTACCCAGGCTGGAGTGCAATGGTACAATCTCAACTCACTGCAACCTCCACCTCCCAGGTTCAAGTGATTCTCCTGCCTCAGCCTCCCGAGTAGCTGGAATTACAGGCATGCAGCACCACGCCTGGCTAATTTTGTATTTTTAGTAGAGACAGGGTTTCACCATGTTGGTGAGGCTGGTCTCGAACTCCTGACCTCAGGTGATCTGCCCATCTTGGCATCCCAAAGTGCTGGGATTACAGGCGTGAGCCACCACGCCTGGCCTGGAGCCTCTTTTATGAGGGCACTAATCCCCATCATGAAAGCTCTGCCCTCAAATCCTGATCACCTGCTAAAAGGCCCCACCTGGTAATACCATCGCATTAAGGGATTAAGTTTCAACATGAGAATTTGGTGGGGACACAAACATTCAAACAAGAGCAGAAACTTATTATAGTATTTACTTCATGGAAATCAATGGATCTTCAATGAAAATAGATTGTTTACTTTTAGGTCCATACCTTATTTAAAATTCATTGCATATACTAACAAAACTAAGTATTAAAACTACATAAAGGAGGAAAAAACAAAAACTGGCTCTTGTAAAGCTATCACCTAGAAAAAGATGAATATTGTCTGGATAAAGCACAGACTGTGTAGGTTTTCAGATTTCTTTTTTAATCTATGATCTAAATCCAGATTTCATAAATGTTGGTTAATTCCCTATAGTTCCTTCCCCACAGCCCTTGCCTACTTTGTTTATGATTTTCCATATGGACAACTGGTTCCTATCACTGACATTCACGTTTATTTTCTTCTATTCAATTCCTAATGTATGCCGAGAATAATCAGTTCCCAGGGTTCTAAAAGGACTCTGAACAAGAGGCCACTGTCACCCATGAACTAAATGAGGCCCAGGACCTACATTTTTATAGAGAATAAAATAATGGATTTTACAGATGAATATTTGTAATCGATTCGATAATGGAACACTAACTTGTAACCCCAATTTTTAAAAATGTATACTCCCAAGAAGAATTACATTCTTCTCATTGATAGGCCAGTATTTTCTTAATGTACTCAATTATTGGATATTTAACTTCAGCAAAAACGTTGTGTAAATTCTTTTTCTCTCGTTATATATGTACTGATATAATATCCCTGATTTTGTCTCTTGGTCCACAAAAATAATGTTGACCAATCCCTGCTGTAAAAGACACTTGTAAGGCTGTGTGTGGCGGCTCACGCCTGTAATCCCAGCACTTTGGGAGGCTGAGGCTGGTGGATCACGAGGTCAGGAGATTGAGACCATCCTGGCTAACAAGGTGATACCCCGTCTGTACTAAAAATACAAAAAATTATCCAGGCATGCTGGCGGGTGCCTGTAGTCCCAGCTACTTGGGAGGCTGAGGCAGGAGAATGGCGTGAACCCGGGGAGGTGGAGCTTGCAGTGAGCCGAGATGGCGCCACTGCACTCCAGCCTGGGCGACAGAGCGAGACTCTGTCTCAAAAAAAAAAAAAAAAAGACACTTGTAAAAACCCATCTTTTTTTTTAAGTCAAAGGGTTCTCCTTTCCAAATCGCTTCTTCCCCTTACCATTTATCTTTGTACCCTGCCA